TATTAAAAAAAATATAATTATTCCAACCAGCTCAAAGCTGTTCAAATAGGACCTGAAATAAGTAGTTGTATGATTTTAAGCCCAGAAAACACAATAGGCGTAAGTAATTTACAATGTTAATTGAACCAAATTCTATGATTGTGTGACATCACTGAAACAGCAAGTTAAAGAACATGAAAAGACAGTACCAATCTCACTATTTGTTTACCTGATACTTTCTGTCAGAAGACGTTGTGTAACTTATTTGTTGGGATTCTTGAGAAATTTTCTGCTGTTACTTGCAGCAGACCTTTAAAGACTCCTGTAACAAAAACTCCTTTGGGTGAATGTCTTTGTCTTATCCAATAAAATCACCAAATAAGTTCTAAAGTCCTAAGGAGAAACTTCTATTTACTGTCTGCTTCATCCTAAAAGTTTTTCAGGACTTTCAGAACAACAGCCTGCCAAAGGAACCTGATTTGTGATTGCATTAAACACATCAGTGCTTAATCTGCTAATTTACTTTATGTGCATTTGGGAATTACTGGTCTTGAAGCAGAGTAACATACTCTTGATATTGTACATTTTTTTCATAGTGAAAAGTCTGAACATGTGACAAATATAAAATTAAATGTAAATAAATCAAACTGTAAATGTTAAGAAACAAATCATCAATCAATTTTTTTTTGTGCAGGTACCTTTATTTTGACCCCTGGCTTTGCCAGACGTTATTCCCATATATGCTCTCCTGTACTGTTCCTGAGAAAATTGTTATTAGAAAGATATAAAGATTCCCTAAATATCTCAGCCTATGTAATCCAGTCAAGGGTTGGTCAGGAATTAAGGCTTTGAATTTTTGGCTTTGGTTGCTGGTTGTTTTGGTTTTTTTTCTGAGTCAATTTAAGATTTATGTCTGACAAACTTTTTCTGAATCTAAGGCACAGTTCAAACTCCCCAGCGGGCCCTCAGTGCCCAGAACTGAGGCTCCCAGCCAGGCTGGGACAGGGCTGGGTGATTCCCATCCTTGGGGCTGCCAGCTGCACCCAGCTGGGGCTGAGCTGGCGCCCCAGGGCACACCTGGAAGCCACAAAACCTTGAGTGGAGCCACTTTTCCTCGGGGTTCTGAGGTCCTTTTTGCACAGCTAAAGCTTTGTGCTTGGAAGCCGAGTGCTGACGTGCAGGTGTCTGCGGCTTTGGGGCTCTGGCTGCCCTGAGCTGTCGTGTACCATCCTGCCATCTGGCTGGTGGCATCTGCAGAGCCTCAGGCCCTGTCCCTGCTCCTGGGCAAGCCAAGCAGATGTCATCTCCCTGGATTGTCACAGCGTGTGGTGGGCAGAGTGTCTGTGTAACGAGTAATGAACTTCAGTCACTGTGCGTTCTCCCTGTGTGAACTGTGAATGCTTTCTACTGCTGAAATTTCTTTATGCATCAAAATACCAAGAGGCTGAATTCTCTAAAACTGACCAACTCCATAATTCTTCTGCCTTTTGGTGCATTGGTTCACCAATCTGCAAAGCAAAACCAGGCAGGGTTTGCCTCTAAGTCTTAATACTTGACCGAAACATTCATGTGTTCCAGCTTCTGGAATAGTGAAAAACAGTGGTAGATCCTTTCAACTCCTGTGTCTTAAAGCAGGATTAAAGTTGGTTGTGAGAAAAGAAAAAAAATAAAATAAAAAGGCCTAATTTGCTCTGGCCTGGATTGCTCCTGCCACATTCATTCTAAACCAAGATGATTAGCATAGCAGAGCATTCCCAGAGTATGTGAATGTGCACTTCCATTGAGAGGGGATTTGCTGGCTGGCTGCTTATGGCAGCCAATGTTCTTGTCTAGGTTTTAATTTGTTTGTTTGTGTGTTTGATGTGTTGTTAGGAGTTATAGGATTGAAAGGCTTCCAAAAGTCCTACCCAGCCTCTCAAAATATTGCTGCAGAAAAATACATGTTTGTTTTTGGAAAATAGATTCCTTTTACAGACAGGTGCTCAGCTGTGGTTTTGGTGGGGGTGTGGAACCTGGGTATCCAGTTAAAAATTTCAGCTGTTGCTCACTTGGCCAAGCTGACAAAAATTACTTTTGACTTGTTTCAGACACAGTGGCACTTTACACCATCATTTTGGAAAAACATGCAGCTTGAAAAGAATATATTAATTTTTGCAAACCAGACTGTTTCTTGCAACAAAAATGGCTGCTGTGCTACCAGTTCCATGCACCTGCAGGAATGAGGGAGCTGCAGATTTCCTGCACCATTCCCTGCCTCATTACACACATTATATAAAATGATACTAGAATTGTTTCATTTTTGTTTCAAATTAATGAAATGCTTTGAGATCTACTCCACCATAAATTCTTGTTATTAAACATCACTCTTTCAGAGAATAAACTTCCTTTTATTATCAAAAGAAGATCCTGAAGATGAATATGGGGGTTAGGAAGAAGAAATGTTTTCCTTCATTGTCTGTAGGCAAAACACAGCAAATTTGGCTGAGGTGACACCGTTCTGGTCCCCAGCTGAGGAGACACACCAGGTTTGATGTTGTCTTCCAGGCAGCTGCTCTGAGAACAGAGCTCAGGCCTAAGGCTGGGCATGTTCTTTCCACTCTCACTAAAGTGATGGAAACAGCCACCAGGCTTGATGAGCTGCTGGAATGGCTTAAAACAATCAAATTTAATTACTTTTTTTTTTTTTTAAGTGATGATGGGAGAGTGAAAAACATCATCAACTCCAGAAGAATTTTCCAATAGGAACTAGTTTTGCAGTATGAATCTTGAAGGAATCAAAGAAAGATTAAATAAATTAAGAGCAAAGGGGTGTGAGGCCGTGCAGAGATGGACAAGCAGCCCTGTCCTGAGTGGACTTTTAATGCTATAGTGTAGAATACCTGATGTAGTGTGGTCCACAAAAGCTGTACAATGTGTTTTATACTTGCCATTCAGATCCTGTGGTATTTTAGGCATCAGTCTTGCTAAGAACTGCAATATATTTAATTTTGATGAGGAGCTCGTTAGTTCACTCACTCCTCTCCATCCTCCACGCTTCATGGCTGATGGCTTTGATGATGATGGCACTAAATCACATACTTCAAGTTTAGCATTTCTTGGCTGTTTTTGTATAACTAATCCTAAAATATTCTTAACAATTTTCTGTACAGAAAAGGATCTATTTTTTTAAGATCGTGGAAATTAAAGTCAGTTAAAAATCTGCTTTATGCTATGACGTTCTGCAGTCTCCAGAGAAAAGCACAGCCCCTTTCATATTTGTCTCCAGACTCTATAGTATCTTATCAGTATCTACAGTATGACATTCAAACGTATTTTTGACTCTGAGTTTGTGCATTTCCAGAAGTCTAGGGCTGCAAGTAAAGTAAATAGGGAAATTTTCCTGTCAAGCTGAAATAAACTAGTCATGCCTGTAATGCAAAGAGCTCAAGAAAATAAGATAATCATTACATTTTGATAACAAAGCATGGTTAGGGAATGCAGAGAAATCAATTACTGTGGAAAACTTAAATAAACAGTTTGTGCAGCCTCAGCATAAGACATCAGATCCACAGAGCTGCTTTAGGGGGTTCAGAGCTGAGTAACCACCTGTCCACGGCATTTAGCACCTGGTGTAATGGTACCTCTGTGGGGCAGAATGCATCTGAAACTGGGAGTGCTGCTCTCTGCATTAAGAAGACTTCTTCAAAATAACAAGGGAATTTAGTCTTAAATTCTTGGCTTCTATTTTCATAGTTTATTATATCATGATTGGATTCCTTCTGTGGACCCAATCTTCTTAATAGTACTATTCATCTCTGGCAAAGGTTAGGCTTGAGGAAAACTAGGACCGAGATGAAAGAGTAGAATTTATGTTATTTAGCAGCTGAATATGTCATTACATCAGAGTTGGTATTGTGTAGCAAATTGCAAGCTGCAGTGAAATTGCTTTAAAAAATATCTGTATATATTTTTCTAAAACTGTGATAAAGTCATTCAGCACCACATTGAAATGCATTTCTAGCTGAACTGTTATATAATTTTTTTTTCCTGTGGTACAAGAACAGATGGCAGTTATTTTTCTTACCAGTCTCTGCTGTGTTGCTTTGCCTTCCCTTGTAAATGTTTTCAAGTGAAAGACAAGTACACAGGACCAAAATGAATCTGCATTGTAACACTGGATTGGGGTTTCTAAAGCAAACTTTCAATCAGCTTACAACATTAGGCTGGAGATAATTACTTAATGTCCTATCAGTCAAGTAGTTCATTATGACAGGAAAATGAGCCGTTAGTCAGAATCAATGGCACATTTTGCAATAGGTTTTTGGAGCAGATGTCTTTCTTCATAGACATTTTTAATGCAATAATTGAGTATTCTATGACTTGAACACAACTGTAGTCACTCCCCAGGGGCTCACACTGCTGGATTTGGAGATGCTCTCTGTGACTTTGTGGCATTCCTGGGGTGACTGTGATTAATCTGAGAACCTCAGCTGATCATTCAGTAGCTGAAGTGTCAAAAGGGCTCCTGCCCCCACAGTGACAAAACTGTTTAGTGATTCTATACATTGCAATGTTTTTAGAAGGATTTCCTTTTAAAATCATTGCTACCTTAGCACTAGTTTGCTAGCTCTGAGAAGGCCTGGTGAAAATGTCTCTAAACACCACCTGGTGTACTGTTGCCTGCATCACCAAAAATGCTGTCTAGCTCTAGAAATGCTATATTCTGAAGTGAAATCATTTGTAGTTATAAATCTAAATGAAACCACCAAGTGTTGTAAATCAAGGGCTGCCTACCATTTTATGACTTTTATATTGCCTGCTGTAATGTGCCATATTATAAAAGCATTGTTAGGAGCTTTAAATTATGATTTAGTAGACTTGGCAGTGCTGGGTTAATGATAGGATTCAATGATCTTAAAGGTCTTTTCCAACTGAAATTATTCTAAATTAACGCTGTACTGAAAATCCAGCTTTATTCGGAGAAGCTCCAATTCTTGTTTTATACAAACTTTTCAAAAAGCTTGGTGTGTCTTATTTTACAGCCTTCGACAAAAGAAAGGCAACTTGGCCCAGAAGCACTGGGCTGGAGCAGCCAGCATGGCCAGGTGCAAGCCCTGCCCTGCGGCACACTCCAGCGCAGTCTGCGGCTCCGATGGACACAGCTACAGCAGCAAGGTAAGCTCTGCCTGGGGCCCCAGCTCCCCTCAATCACCACGTGGGTGAAGATGAAACACCTCCTGTTGTTAAGCAATATTAAATTACACCCTTTGTTAATCCAGGAATATTTTTTTGTGCAAAAAGTGCTGATAAATGTAGGCTTTTCCATCTTTGACAAACGGCAAATCAAGATGCCAAATCACAATCTTGTGACTTTCCTGATTCATGTTTCTCTAAATAACCTTCTCTTAATGAAGTAGAACACTTTTAATATTGATGATGCAACTGGAAAAAAAAATCATTTGGTGAGATTGGCTTGATTAGACAAGAGGATTTGGGGATCATTCATTTTTTTAAGAAATCGTCTCCAAATCATAAAATAACTATGCAGAATAATTCTTCAGTGATAGATTTATTTTTAATTGTCTCTTTTTTCCTAGACTGCATGGGTAACATATTACAATTCATTTAGCCTGTGGTTTTAATAGCCTTGTGTGCCAGATGCAGCATATATGGTACCATAAAAAAATTCCCATAACCCAGTGGGGATAAATTGACTCACTGTTATACTGAAAATATGATCACCTTAGGGCTTGGCTCGATAAAAGAAAATGTCTTCACAACCATTCAGTGTTCCAGATCTCCCATTAGCAGATAAAGCCTTCCATGCCTTGGATACAGGTCCCAAAAACAGCACTTCAGGCACTGGAAAGCATGTTTTGGGGAATACCCTTAAGATTCTCTTATCTTGATGCATGCAAAGTAATGTTTGACAGCCAGTAAAACTACCACTTAAAATACAAAAATAGCCTTCAAAAAAAAAAAAACAAAACCAACAAACAGGAAAATAAAGCTATCGGGCAAAAATTCTCTGCTGTGTTGTAACAACTACATTATTTTCTCAGCTGGGCATCTTGAGTTCTCCACTTAATAATGGACACAAATATTAAAATGCCATGCCTTGGTAATTTCAGCTTCTCTCTTGTTCTGGATGAAGGATTTGCATGGCCAGAAGGAGCAAATCAGAGCAGAAACTCTCATCTGTGCACACAGACTGCAGGAAAAATGGCCACATGTTGCCTGTTAAACAAGTGACTCTTTAATACTCCCTAGGAGTGTGTATTGCAGTAATTTAGCTTTGGTTTTTATGGTTAAGATGAGCTCATTTTAAAAACAACTTTTTCTGTCTGAACTCTTGAGTCTGTAAGATGTTCTGCAGTAAATAGATTTCATTTCACGTTCTGTCATGCTATTAACTCATTTCTGTGCATCTTACCTGCATCTCTATTAGCCCCAAATGGGTTTTTGGCCTTTGCTATTTCTCGCCATAAGATCTAACTGGTTTTCATCAGACACACTGCCGATGTTATAAATTCACCAAGCTGTTGTGATTATGATATAAACCTGACAGCTACAGTGAAGATATGAAACATTTCCTGGTGCTGACATGTTTGATTGTCAGAGACACCTCCCAGAAGTTGCCTGTTTGAGTTTTGGGGGTTATTTCAGAGGAAATTTGTTAAAGATTTATTCTGAAACAACTTTGTCTCATCTTTATTTATTGTATGCTTTACTATCAATTGCTCCTGTCCTAGCAAAATTATTTTTTTTTTTTTTTTTAGAAGACGGATTTTGGTAAATGAGCTGAAAATACTTTAGGGGAAGCATCAAAGTAAAATAGTATATGTTAGTGCCCTAACAAATTACATTTTTATGATCAGGAATGATCATGGCTGTCTGGTATCTTTTACAAGAAAACAGTGCTCCCCTCAAACTCACTGTTAGAATTCACCAGACAATGTGTTCCCTTTTTTTTGCCTTCAAGTCACTAAAATCAAAGTTTTCTCAGTAATTTTCTTTCACATACCAGTGCTGTTGGCAAGTATTATTTCTGGCCCTGCAGTGCTGTCATGTTCTAGTACTGACTGTGAAAATTCAACCAGGTGGACTCGAGAGCGGGCACTGCTCTGTGCAGGGATGTGTTTGCTGGTCCCTGGTTCTGCATCTGCTGCCTTGTGAACACGCAGTGACGAGCTGGGCAAACGGGCACATTCCTGCTGAACTTGTAAACAAAAAATGGAGAGAGGACACTAAGTTTCAGGGGGAAGAAAACCTTCTGAAGCCATATCTTAGGCTTCCCCTGCTGCTGGCAGCCAGGGGGAACACGCAGACACAGCAAGAGTTGATCCATCGTGGCTGCAGGTGGGTTTGGCCTCTCCTGCAGGCACAGCAGGGGCTCAGCTGGGAGATGGGTTTTGGGCTCCCAGTTCCTGGCCTGGCAGAGCAGCATCAAAGTGTTCAGTGATGACCTGGGGCTGCCATCCTACAGCAGAAATGTTTGTACCAGGGCTGGCCCTTTCCATACTTTGAATGGTAATCTGAGGAAAAAGAGGAATGAAAAGGAAAAGGCACAACAGAAGTGTGGCTGACTGATCAAATGCAGATGAAACTTGGGTGTCAATAAATGCCCAGTAATTCACATTAAGAAAATACACACATATTTAATATACATCATAGCCATTTGATCCTGGAATAATTCCAGCTGTTTCCCAGGAAACATTGTAGACCTTGAGGCATGAATTTCTTGACAAAATTGGGTAAAGTCAACCAAATCAATAATGCAAGGGTTATGGGGGAAAAGAATAACAAAGGATAAACTAAAGCATTGTTTTTGAGCTTACTGGTTGATGTAGATAGAGATTCAGGATGTTTAACAGCCTTGCTGTTCCACCAAAGACATGGAGCCCTTCAGCCCCACAACTAATTTATGGAGGGCTAGTCAAAGGAATCTTTCATCTTTTTAAGCTTGCATTGAAAAATATTCCAAATAATCAAAAAATATTTGATTTCCAACACAAAGACAAATGGTAAAACATTAAAAATTATGAAAATTCCATGCCCACATCTTGTGCTCCGATGATTTAAGTATCACCTAAACTATAGGAGACACAAGGTAATAAGAACTTTGATGGCTCTAAAGTTGATTTAGCTTCATGTGTGGGAGTTGTACTGCTTAAAAAATCTCACCACTCTTTAGACATTAAACCTTTCTGGTTCTTTTCCTGAAATCTTTAAAACTTGATCTGGATTGTTTCATCTGCTATGCACAAGTGCTAAAGTGGAAATTGATAAGCCTGTTGGGCTGTAGTGTGTGGTGGGGTTTTAATGTTCAAGTTTTGATTTTCAGATGACAAACTAATTCTTCTGAGAAATGGGATTCTTCAGTTACACCAATAATTCAGCACTTCTGCATGACAAAATTTGAACACAGATGTGGCCTGTATGTACTCAGTCCCTGTACCTTGTTTTCAGCAACTGAGAAATTAGTGGTTTTTGAACCTGCAGAAGTTTTTTGTATTTCTGGAAACTTTATAAACTATCACCCTTTCCTGTGAGGTTTGAACCCTAAGAGGCTTAGGTTTATCAAAGATTTCACTGATTTTTATTTTTTTTTTCTACTTACTGCTTGAAATGCAGGTGTTTTAAAATGTGCACCATCTCTCACAGAACAACTTTGTACAAAGAAGTTTCCTGGGTATAATAGTTCTATTTAATATTGTGACAACACAAAGCACTTCCATAGGTTATTACAGGCAGAGTTTTCAAAGCTCTTTAAAGTACTAATGAATTAAGCTTATGGGGTATGTAAGCCCTATAAAGAGCTTGATGTAATTAGTTAATGTTTTTGTGAGCAACACATTAAGAAGAATAACTTTGTAGATGTCAGTTTTACAGGAACTTTAATTAAGCTTGTTAATAAAGCAATTACCTGAACATGACGATGACTGTACTTAACTAGTCAGAAAATGAAAATTAGGATGATCTTAAATTACAAAACATACCACCTCAATGACTAATGGTGCCTTCAAAGATGGAAAGGTACATTGGCATAATTATTATGTTTCTAATTAGGTACATTGTTGTTCTGAAAATTTTAATTAAATCATTGTGAACTAATTAAATTCATGATCATGTCTCTTTCTGTTTGAAAATGTAAAAATCATGTCCTGTTGTCATAACATTAGGTAATTAATTTGATATTAAGGGATGTACAAGAAAAAGAAAAAATTTCTAACAGTCTTGAAACAGAAGAAAAAATAACGACCAAAATAATGAGACACTATTAGTTAAATGTGTGCAGTGTGAAGGCTGCTACATTTAATTAGGAGAAGTCTGTATGCAGAAGCACAATTAACAAATTCTTGTTAAAGTGTCTAACTGTTGAGAATCACAGAATCATGAAATCACTAGGTTAGAAGAGATGTTCAAGATCGAGTCCAACCCAGCCGTAACACCTCAACTAAACCAGGGCACCAAGTGCCACATCCAGTCTTTTTTTAAACACATCCAGGGACTCCACCACCCCTGGGCAGACCATTCCAGTACTTTATCATTTTTTCCATAAAAACTTTTTCCAAATATCCAACCTATATTTCCCTTGGCACACCTTTTTTTAGAAATGGGTAGATTTTATAGGATGTGACCATTCTGAATGAACTTTCTACAGGAAAAAGATTTTGCTACTTCCTCATTCTAGTAGCAGTTTTTCAATATTCATCCATATTTTGTTATTTGACTCCATGTGTTGCAGGGGGTTCCTAACTGCAGAAATACATCTGACACAAAACTTTTAGCACTACTGACTTTATTCCCCAAATAACCACTGGGAAACTCCAGAGGACTGTGGGAGAACTAGAGTTGGCTTGATGTTGAGTACCTTTGTATATTCCCTTTCTTGACTCTGGCACATCTGGCTCCTGCATTCCCACGAGGTAAATGTTCCCTCAGCCTGTGCTCTGGGCCAGTGAGACTTGAGTTGTGTAATCCAAAAGCTGTGTGAAGCTGTTATTGCATAATCAACTCCTAAATTATAAATTTTGTCTCTCAGAAGGCAAAACAGGCGCAGTTGTATGCTGTGCATCCAGGGCTACACAGTTAATTTGGCTTGAAGCATGAGGTGAGCAATGTTTTTTGATCAAGTGCTATGTATCCTAAAGACATCCTGTTGTTTGTATGGT